ATGTGTAAGCCCTGAATTATCTCTTAAATGGCTGTAATTTCCCAGTCTATGAGAGAATCAAATAATTTTCAGATATAAGCTTAAAAATTGTAAAAAGCAACCACTGTACCTAGACAAGGACTGTGAAAGTATTTATCATTCAGCCCGTCAGGTCTCTGGGATTACACAGTCCTATAATGACATATAAATCAGGAAGACCTCACTGAACATTAACAAGATTATTTTCCCCCACTGGACTGGAAAAATGCTTGATCTTATTTCTTAGGAACGTTTATGTAAAATGTGAGCTCTGTAAAACAGGCGTTTGCAGAAGAGATGGGATTTCGATGAGTAGTGACCATGCAGGTGGGGGACTTGTGTGTGTGGGAAACTCAGAGGCGTCTCGAGTGTGCTCTGGCCAATAGCGAGGCTGTCCCAGTGCCTCCAAATCAGTCATCTGCCATGTAGCAATGAGGGCATTATACGAAGCACTAAACTTAGAATCCAGAGGTCTAAGGATTCATTAAAAAAATACAAGAGAACTCTGGATACCATCTCTGAATACAATAACCTCTAGGGCTACAAGCAAAGAAGGTATTTGAGACTGATGAAAACAACATATTATTTGTCTACAATTAAGAACTAAAGGAAGACAAGAACGCAACTGAATATAACCTGCATAGTGTTTATAATGACAAGACAAAACTCTTCCAGGGGTGGAGGCTGGTAGTTAAGCTGCAGAAAGGCTATTATTATAAGAAATAATAAGCATGCAAAGGCAAAATTTTAGATTCCTAAGAAATGGCATTAGAGTATCACTTAGTAAAATGGAGTGACTAGAGTAAAAGGTTTTTAAAAGTAGGTTTATTGCTATTCTAGGAAGGAGGGCTCCAAAGTCCTCCCAGGAGGACTTCAAAACTTATTTACTCTGATTTACTTTGGATTGGTGGACATAGGACTGACTGTAAAATTATCTATCAAAAACAACTAGGTTATAATTCGCTAAATGTTGTAGGTCACTATATTCAAAATAAACATATGAGAATAAAATAAATTCCAAAGGTACCAAATAACTGGTTAGAAAATAAAAGGAAAAACACAGTGTTCACAACAGCAATCTAAAAACTACATATATAGAAACGCTTAGGACTGTCCCTAAAAAGAAATATCACAGGCCTACAATAGAAAAATATCAAATCTTTACTGTAGAAGATCACTGAAATAAATAGAGGTTGCATCAAGTTCATGAATGGGAAGAAATAATATTGGAAAGATATCAACCATTATAAAATTATTTTATAGGTTGAATAGTATTCAAATTAAAAACACAAAGAATTGTGGCTTTTTTAATTGACAAGGTGATCCTGAAGTTTACTTGGAATGATGGAAAATTAAAAGCTAAGAACATTAAAACCGAATAATACAAAATGAAAAGCAAAAAGAATTGGGGTGGAATTTGTTTCACTAGATGTTTAAAAATATTATAAAGGCACAATAATTAAAATTCTGATCCAATAAGCAATAAACATTGACAAAAAATGAGCAAAAACTCAGAAATGAAGACAATTGTCCATATGAGAACTTACTATGCAATAAAATTGTATCAAGATCAGTGGATAAAGTAAGAATTTTTTAATAAAGGGCATTGGGATAATTACTTGATCATTTAAAAAAATATAAAGTTGGAATCTCACCACTCAAAATGAATCAAAATAGACAGGTAAAGTGATTAAAATGACATAAAAAGTAACGTTAAACATTTAAAAAATATTCTTGAAATGAGAAATGACTTCTAAGTATAAAATCAATTAGAAAATCCTAAAGGGAAACATAGATCAAAAACTTAAAAACAGTTCTCTCTATAAAAAAATTTAAGTTAAATAAACCTTTGCCACAAATTTGACAAAGTCTCTATACAAAGCATAGAATAACTTATACAAGACAATAAACAAAACAAACTCAAAAACAAGTGTTTAAATGATTTCAAGGAACAATGTACAGAAAAAAAATAATAAATAAATGCTAAGGGCCGGCCAAGTGGCGTGGTGGTTAAGAGCTGGCTTGGGATGCCAGAGGGCCCTGGTTCGGATCCTAAATATGAGGGCCAGTGACACTGCCCTCTACAGCTAAGATGCTGAACAACAGCTCAACCTGGAGCTGGGCTGCCCTGAGTCGCCAGCGATGGCATAGGCTACAGCCCCTGCTGCAGTGGGTTGCCATGGGCTACCGTATGTAGCCAGCAGCCAGCATGAGCGGGCAGCAGCCGCAGTGAGCGGCCGTCCAGAAGCCGGCGACTGATCTGCCTCGCCTGGGAAGAGCGCAATGATGGTGCCAGCTTGGGCCAGTGAAGCAACGTCCTCCACAACTAGACTGAAGAACAAAAGGACAGCAACTTGTCTGTTCCCCTTCCCCCAATTCCCCAATAAAAATCTTTAAAAAAAAAAAGCTAATAAATGTGTTAAAAACCTCAACGGCACTAGTAATTAAAGAACAGAAAGTAGAAACAAGAAAAAACAATCCACCTATGCATTTGTCAAAGTTATGTAAAATGGTTCTTGGTGTTGGTTTGGGTGTGGCAGAAAACGCTGCTTTTACTCAGTGCTGGAAGAAATGTGCCTTGGTAGAACTTCTCTAAAATGCAAATGGCAGGAACAATTGAGAGCTTTTTAAAAGCGCTGGTCAGTAATTTATTCTATGAAAAGAATAGAAATTTGGGAAAATTAACAGGAAAGATGCTCTTATGAACATTATACTGGCAAACATACATACACATGCGCACACACACACACACACAGAGAGAGAGAGAGAAAGAGGGAAGAAATGAACATTTGGGGAACAAGTAGAGTAGAATAACCATTAAAATAGTGTTTTGGAAGAATGGTTAATTATATGAGAAAATTCTGATGATATGTTATTAAGAAGTAGAATATAAAACACAATAAACACTTTGACACAATTTGGTGAAAAGAGCATTAGATTAAAAAAAAGAGAGAAGTAATTTAATAAAAAAAGAGAGAAATGAAAGGATAAAGGGAGGTGAAAGAGATGAAGGAGAAAGAGAAGGAAGAAAGGGAAAGAAGGAAGGAGGAAATGAGGGAAGGAAGAGAGAGAAAAAAGGAAAAAGAGAGAAAGGGATCAAGGAGAGAAGAGAACAATAAAAAACAAAAGATGTCTGGGCAGGGAACAGCCCAAATGTTCCTCCTGATTGTCTGGGCGGTGAGATGTCTTGTTATTTTTATTTTCTCCTATGTCCTTCTATACTTTTGCAAATTTCCTCTGTAACCATTATTATTCTTATAACTGGAAAAACACAGTCATTTTTTAAAAGACATTAATGATATAAATTCATCATACTGCATCCCTATCAGTCCAAAAAGGAATTGGACCCTGAAATATCAGTAGACAGGGAGTTAAAATAATGAAAGTTTGGCTATATGCCCAGGATGCCAAAACAATGGGTTGGCTTCATTAACGGGGGAGAAAAGTCAGTCAATGACTTTTGAATTAGTCACCTGAAGAACTGAAAAGTTCGCTTTCACATCCTGAAAACCCATCACTGGCGGTGAAATGAAGGGAAAGTCCAATAAGTGCGCCGTCAACCGTATTTCTGGAAATGGCCTGGAAGCTCACGGAGCTATTTCCTTGAGCCCACCTATCCTGACAGGGATGGTGAGCACCTACGGTGGTCCTGGTAAGGCTGTACAACAGGGTCAAGTCCTTCCCATGTGTCCTGCACACATCCAAAATGGGACATGCCTAGGTTTTCTTCCTGTCCTCAATTAGTAAGCATGAAACAATTTCAGTGGGACTACATTATACCTTTTTAAATGATCTAAAGAAAACACTGTTTTTATCCCAGGATCACTTTTCAAGCTTGAAGATATTCCAATCTGACTTGTCTTTCTTCATATCCCCACTGTCTTGTGCCTGCTTATTAGCACTTCCATTCACATGTTAAGGGTAAGGAACTTTGGATTATGTTTTGCTGCTATGCTAAAAATCATATTTGGGGCAAGAGGTGAATGAAGATGCTCAACAGGGCTTGAGGAATTCAGTTTGTAAGAATAAAATTTGTTTTACAGAGTGGAAGGTGGAGCCTGAATCTAATTAAATATATCCGGGCACTTTGTGTATCATGTAGTATGTATTCTGCAGCAGCGTCTTAACAAAAAGCTGTTGGCTGAATTGTCTCTTTTCTACACGCTATTCCTTTTTCCTGTGATGGGACTTGATAAGTAGAGGGTAATTAAAACGCATGATGGCACAAATCACATCGGCCAAATGACATATTCTCGTCAACTTTATGTGACATTTCTCCCAGGAAGCCACTTGAGTTGACAAAACAAAAAAAGCCCTTCTTGAATAAGTTAAAGAAACAAATAAACTGCTTCATATAAATGCACACCTGTCAGGATACAAAACTTAGAGATGGCATCTCGACCATTTTATATGTATTTATACTAGTTACCTGTTTTTTTCTACCATTCAGCTATAATCAGAATTGTTACTATCTGTTATTAGGAAGCTATATTTTAGTTTGTCCTCAGCCAAATGACATGTTTTAACTCTTACGAAACCCACAATAATGTTAAGCATTTACCAACCTCAAAGAGCATAGCCCTATTTTTAAATCTAAACCTATTTTCACTTCTATCACTTGAATGTAACATATATTAAAATGTGTGCTATTTTACAAATCCTTCTTGGTAGAGATAAGTCTGCATTTAAAGGGTTTAAGAAAGGATTCCAGGAGCCTAGATCTGTAGCTGACCTCTGCTTTTCTATAGCTTTGGATTTGAAGTTACGAAGGAGGCAATATATCTTTGAGTTCTCAATTTTTCAATTGTACATTCAAAAGAAATGGCAGTGGCCTCTGCACAGGTCATTTCTTCTGACAGAACGGAAATGGGGAGAGGCTCCTAAATGTTTTCGAAGCCTCCCCAGTATGGCACACATGACATGTGATCAATGGATCCTCATGCTTTGATATGTTACAGCGGGAACTTTTAGAAATGACTTACTGGGTTGTACATCTGATTGAACAACTGCTCAGCTTGCTACATTGCAAAGTTGGGGAGGCATTGAAGCACAGACAAGAAAAGAAGGAAAGATCCAGAAAAACAGCATTAGCTCAACAAATCCAGTGCATTTGCACAGACAAACTGTTCGTTAAAAAAAAAAAAGAGAAGAAATTTGAGTTTCTAAACATTCCATAGTGAAAGTGAGAGGCTCTAGGGACACAGAAATGTTGACTTTGGCTCCTAGAAAAGAATAGCTGGAATAAGAAATTTAAGGTTTGTGTTACTTTTCCTTTCTCAAGTTAAATAACCCATGAAATAAAGAAAGCTGTCCACTTTTGATGATACATGAAGTGCTGGTCTCTAGCAATGAATCAGAAGAAGTACTTTTGGCCAAGCTTACAATTTATTACCTGAACTTCAAAGATGGTAATAATAAAAGATTAATTAAATCTTATCATTGAATTTATAGCTCTTCTTTTATATTAACACAAGCCTGAATTTTCTATTCAGTCTAACTTTAGGAAAACATAGATCAGCAAACAGAAGTTTAGCAATAGCAAAGTATCAGTAAGCAAGACATTACAGGATTAACAGTAAAGGGGAGAAGTAAAAATTTAAGTCAGCAGGAAGAATAAAGGGAACCAAAATAAAGTATTATCCATTGTCCATTACCAGATTCTACTGTTAGTTCATAGTTAATTTAAAAATGTATAGTTTTTAGTGACTATCCTATTATGTTCCAAGTGCTTAAGAATCTGTAATGCTCTCCTGTCTATTTAAGTAGAAGATTTAAATGTTTGTACCGTTAAATGTACTAAATATTATTTTAAATAGCATTGTCAAGTTATATGTCTTAAATACCTGCATCATTAATTTGGGGATCAACATCAAGGCGTACAAGGTTAAATATTGTAGAAAATTTTACTTTGCTTTAAGCTAAGTCATGTGCCTTTGAGAGCCTGAAATTTTTTTTTTTTAATTTCTTCAACTTTAATGAAATAAATAATTTTACCATGGTTAAAACTAAAAAGCCTCTGGTGACAAAAAGAAATTTGACTTTGGGTGGTGAACACACAAAGCAATATACAGATGATGTGTTATAGAAATGTACACTTGAAACCTATATAATTTTATTAATGAATGTCACCCTAATAAATTTAATTTAAAAATAAACACCCTCCTAAAAGATAATGTTAATTGGAAAATTATGAAATAGTACAAATCAGAACATTTTAAATTGCTGTTGCTTCTCAACTGATTTATAGTCATATAAGGAAAATTTACTTCTATATATTGAACACCAAATGCTCTTTTGAAAGACAAAATGATCCATACATCACTAATCAGGTTCTTCTCAACCCCTAGGTGTCTATTTAAGATTAATGAATGCACAGATTTATAAAACACATTCAGAACTCATAGTTATGCATTATTTGGTTAGTGCCATTTTCTCAACCAATCATTTCCTCAATATGAATATTTGAGTGCATTGTTTTTAAGAGGTGGGATGGAATGTGTAAGAAATTGTTCCTTTTCTGCCTGTAACCATTTTTCATCACAAAGGATTTGAAAATGTTTTAAATTAACACAAGAGTAAAGGGTTAAAAGCAACTGTGTATGTAAACATTTTCCACAAACTTTTATATAAAAACTCACCTTACCAATTCCAATCATTGTTTATAACACACACACAAAAAAAATGAAATCCCGATTTGGATTTCATTGTCACTGGCAGACAAGGTTTCTGTTCAGCTAAACACATCTACATTGTGTCGATTTTATGGCAAACATACCTGGACACTCACAAATCTTGAGCAAAATTCCATTGGGAATTCATGGTTTATTTATGACATAATAAAAGTATTATGTTTTCAGCTTTCATTTAGTAACCCTTTATATTTTATTCACAAGTCACATACCCTTTTATTTAAAAGGAGGCCCAGACACTCCTTAAGCTTTTATAGCTGCTTATTTTTCCATGAGTAAATGATGTGTTTATATGTATTTTCACATACTGTTGGCTTATATTTTCAAATATTTCATGTAGATCTCAATTCTTTTTAAGGTGATGGGTACTTGAGGTTTTTACGGAACTATTTATTAGCAGAAATTAAAGACTACTAGAAAAAGTATTTTAAACTTTTGAATTTAGTTGATGTTAGGGAGCCAAAAATAACAAAATAGCATGTGCAGGTTAGGTATGAAAATATTTAAATTATAATTACCTTATTTAATCTCACTGTACTATGCATTTAGGAGATAGTATAAGCAAAGATTATTTATATACTTAGAAATGAGTTATCTTTTCATAAATTAAATAGGTCCTTTACAGCAAGACAACCATATTTGCTACTTTAATCCTAGTGATGTAGCAGAATATTAAAAATGTTGTCAGAAATAATGCTAAAATGTTGACAGAATTTGGTCTGTGAATTTCAGTACATGGCGTCTACCTGTGAGTTGAAGGAAACCACATACTCTAAGTGATTTCTTGGGTGAACCATAGCTATGTTGAAAGAAATTAAATTGAATTGCATAGATGTTGATTTGTTAAACTATTCAAGTCATATACATGGGAACTATAAGCATCAATATGTAAATCTCTTCCTTTTAATTACTAGAGGGTTTCAAATTTCTTTGACGACTTTCACTAAAAGGGAGGGTGTCTAGCATGGAATGCCCTCATCCCCATAATGGCTCCGCAGAGCTGGTGAGGGGAATCTTTCATGCCCAGGTCCATTTGAGGTCCTTCTTCTTCAGGACTCAGCACAAAACAACTGAGCTAAGATAATACAACGGACCACCGTCAGGAGACAATGAAGTCCTCTCTCTCACAGAGTTATCTTAGAGCCTGTCTTATGATCACAAAACTGTTCATTAAATAAAAAGTACATTTCACAAGTTCCTGTCTCGATATGCAAGTGCAAGTATAACATATTGCAGAACACATCTTTGTATGTGTCAAGAATGTATTATCATACACCCAAAGCATAAACAGCCAAATCAATCTCCATTTAAACACCCTCAAATGGGCAATTTAAATTCTTCTATTTATTGTTCAAGATTTCTGCTTAACTAGATCTTGCTTAGAAAAAGATGAGATGGTGAGTGGATTGGGAAATAGATTTTGCAATGTAGAGATTTTCTTGCTGTTTTGTTGCAAAGGGATTTGATCTGTGTATTTATCTTTTTCTGTATTGGTAAGGAGACTTCACTGTGTGAAATTTCTCATGACAATTTCCTAAAATTCCGTGGTAAAGTGAACACAGTATAATCACATTTCAGTTATATATTGCATCATATAAAATAGCATATTAAATTTTAAGATATCCAGAATAATTTCTCCACAGATATATGATGCTTTCACATCCCTATCATCCATGTCATGTTTTCATAACTGTAGCAAATAAATCCCCATTCCAATGTGCTATGAATTATACATAGTCAAATTTTATTATATGCTTTGTTTCATTTTTCAGATTCTTATCATCTCCTTTGAATAAGTTTATAAGTTGTCAAAGGGAAACAAAATGCTTAAACTCATAATGTTATGAGTTTTACGTGAACAATGAATGCAGACGTACCAAACAACACAGGGAAAAACTCAGGGAACGATGCATGACTGGAAATGTGCTCCACAAAAATGTCCAGTTCAGAGAAAACATGTTAATGCTGCAATGTAAAGATCCTGCGTTCTTTTCCAAAGCCTTCGACATAAAACAAGCTTTCTTAGACATTAAGGCCATTTTTGGTCAAATATAAATAGTCATCCCACAGACTTCACTATTTTGGTGAACTTCTAGAAATTTCATGTTGTCAGGTAAACTTTGCAAAGTTCCAATAGAAAACTGACCTGTATCTGAAAGTAGTAAAAGTTTATCAATGTATAATGAAGCCCATGGATTCTTAGGTTTGTTGCAAAAATTTCCGTTTATCTCTTTTGATAGTTGAGATTTACCCAGAGAGTAATGGCTGGTTTTCACAATATTTTTCATGTCCACTACTATTTTCAAGTATTTTTCAAGTTTTTTTCAGACAGGAAACCTAAAATAATTTTTCAGGTTCACAGACAGATTTGATGTAGACTTCTTAGGAATAAAGTTAAGAGTGTTTAATTAATTCTTTTGTCAGTAGACAGCAAAAGATAAGAGGTTTGTTTCTTTTGAAAAATGTCTCTTCCTTTCCCATTCTATAATTCATTGTAAAATGAGCATCTTTTTTTTCTCTTTTAGGCTTCACTTACCTTTTTTAACTGTGCTTCCAATTTGCTACATTCTTCTTTCTTTTGTTCAATGGCTATTTCTAGAGATTTTAATTTGGAGTCCCTTTTCAGCCCTGCTGAGGCTAATGAAGATGCATGTTCCTTGAGGTCAATTAAACTAGACTGAAAGAAAAAGAACACTAGTAAGTAAAACACTGCAATTTCTACTAGCAATGTCTTCCATTTGAATACATTGATTCTGTACATAGCAATAAAGTGTGCATTAGACAGAAAAGGTAAATACAGTCTTACTAAGGTAACAATAGTCGGCTCTGGCCAGGAAATTAAAGTTGGCCAGCTTACAGAACCAAGCAGGATCTAATTGCAATAGAATCAAATGTGACCAAATGGTGTGGTCAGTAAATGCATGTTTCATGTCTCAAAGTCATGTTAATGATGTAAGTCCCAAGGTGGTCTTTACATGTCATGGTAAAACAGACAGCCTGAACCTTCCATTTACATTTATTGCTGTCAGGTCGTATAGACTCTAAGACAAATATGAAAGAAAATACTGACTTTAATGCTTTCCCACCCTCCCTCCCAGGGCAAATCAAGTATAAAAGAAACATCCTATTAAGTTTTGATCAAATTCCATTTCTTTAACACAAAAATGACCAGTGGTTTTTCAAACATCTTCTGTATAATCAAAGATAAAATTATTTAAAAATTTAGAGTAGACTTTATGTTCCAGTTCTTTGTAAATCCAGATTCAGCAGATATAATGAATCTCCCCAACTCAATGATGGGGTTGCCTAAATTGTTCCACTCAACAAGCACACCCAGAAACTAAGAGCTTCCCTATATTGTCTGAATTCCAAAACCTAAAGAAATAAATACCTGCACATATCACGGAATGCAACTTTGCTAGCTAGGAGGACACTGTCTATCACCAAACAAGAAATGATTAGCAACATCTAACTATGTGACTACAATGTTTAGGTTTTACCCCAAATCAGACAGTGTGTACTTCCTTTATATCCATTTGTAGCACCTAGGGAGCCACTAAGAACACAACTGTCTCTCAGTAAATGATGTTAGGTAGTACTTTACGTCTGGGATGCTTCATAGGCTCTGGAATAACCTTGTTGATAAAGATATTACCACCATCACCCAGCCAACAACCCAGCTCCTAGTAACTCTTTGAGGGACAGGCCAGCCATTCTCATTCAGGTCAGGAAACTGAAGTTCCTATGAGCTGAGTGTCTTCTCCAGTGTTCCCAGGTATTAAAGGGAGATACAGGTCTCAGACCCAGGTCTCCAACTCAAATATCAATACTCTTTTTATCATGTCACTCCCTCAGAAATAATAAAGGGCCTTATAATCCAGGCATTTTGTCCTGGTGAAGATTATTATCACCCCATCTAAATTAGAAGTTCCCTGCTGACAACAATTATATGTTGCTTTCTTTATAACTTTTAAATTGCTGGGTATGATAGCTTTAAGTGTCAATTTGGCTAGGCTATGTCCCCCAGTTATTCAATCAAATGCTAATCTAGGTGCTGCTTGTGAAGGTATTTTGTAGATGTGATTAACATTTACAATCAGATGACTTGAAGTAAAGGATATTCTTTTCCATAATGTGGGTGGGCCTGATCCCATCAGTTGAAAGGCCATCAGTTAAGTAGAACTGAGGATTCCCTGAGCAAAAAGAAACTCCACCTGTGTGCTGCAGCATCATCTACCATCTGAGAGCTCCCAGCCAGCTCTTCCCGATGGCCTGCCCTGTGAATTTCGGCCTTGCCTAGCCAGCCCCCATAACTACGTAAGCCAATTCCTTGCAATAAATTTCTTAATATGGTTACATTTCTTAATACGGTTCTGTTTCTCCCGTGGAAGCTTAACTGACACACCCAGCCCAGTGGCAGGCACATTATTATACAGGAACAATAAATGTTTGCTGAATGCCAGTCTGAAATTCATACAATGTAGGCATTATTTACAAAATTATTTTCACTTAACGCGTATGCTCCACCATGTCAAAATCTCTTTTCAATTAGAAGTGTGTGTGTGTGTGCATGTGTGTATATACATATATATTTTTAAGATGTACACCTATGAATGACACTTGAAATCAGTGAAGAATGCTGCAAATGAGGTCAAAGCTTCCATGCCTTCTGTCACATATCAACTGCAATAATTACAGACCCCCCGAGTTGGGTTTAGCAGTGAAATAGTCGAAAGAGGATTTACAATCTTTCTTTTCATATCAAAAAGCTAATCTTGTCTCTAAAAACATAAATTTTAAGCTGTATAAATTTTGCTTCTGAGTTTCCTCAAAACCCCTATTACTCAATTCTTCCCTTCTTGAATTCATAATTTAGACAGTACTTTAATTTGTATAGAATTATCAAAACCCAATGATGGGTTAATACTTGGGAGCTGGGAGATGTGCAGCTATGCAGTGATACAGCCCAGCAGGGTAAGAGACCTAAAGGAGTTGGCCATTTCCTGCAGACAAAAATAAGGGTACAAGGACCAACGGTGGACAAGGCACGTATATCAGAGTTTTGAAGATCGAATAAAATAATGTGCATGGCTGCTTCTCAAAACTTTTCACCAAAGTATCCCTAAGTAAACTAAAGAGATTATAGGTATCCCTTAGAGTATGGGGGGGTATAACCCAAAGCATCCTCTCTATAACAGCCAAGCACGAAATTTCATTAAAGTATATTGTTTGACTGTAATAAATACAGGTAAGATCTGTTTTCTATTTCCCTGTTTGCTCTAGCATTAAAACATTGTTCTAAATTATTAACTATAATATGAAAATCACATCCCAGCAGAGCAGCCCCATTTAACTCACACCTTGTGTCCAGCATGATCCCAGGTCTCCAACCTGGGCGTATGAGTGGTCCATTTGAAAAGCACAGATGAATGTAAAGCACCCCACACAAGGATTAGCATGTCAAAGGCCGTCAATAAAGTAGAACTGTTATTATTACCAATCCTGTTGTTATCTCAAACAGAAATCATGGGACTTTGAAAGACTATAGAATCTTCTAAGCCACACAAATGTGGTAAAACAACAAGATTTTCAAGGAGCCACATTGTATACAGTTAGTAGAGGAGAGAAGATATGCATAGAACATCACTAATGACAGGAGTTATAATAAATATTTTCCTCTGAGTTCAGAAAGCTTTACAAAGGAGAGGTAACTAACTATGTTCCCCAAGCCTTCACACAGTCCCTCAAGCTGTAGTCTCTTGTGGCTACAATGAATATGGGTTTGTGAGGGCCATCAATGTGGTTCACTGGTTTTTCCAGACTCACCTCTTTTTCAGTCAGTTCAGCTTGTAAAGCATTGACCTTCTCTTTCAGGTCTTTGTTCTCTTTTCGGAAGGATTCTATCTCTTCTAGTCTTTCCCGATCATCCCTCTCCCGCTGTTCTTTCAAACGCTCAATTATTCTTTCCTGAGGCAATTGTCAAAAAAGAAGAGGTGAGAACCCATCAGTGTGTGTGCCAAGACATGCTAAAAAAGAAATGAGGTGGGTAAGGGGTGGGGGGGAAGGGTAGAAGAGGGAAAAGAAGGTCAAATATATGGTGATGGAAGGAGAACTGACTCTGGATGGTGAACACACAATGTGATATATAGATGATTATTCTAGAAATGTACACTTGAAATCTATATAGTTTTACTAACCAATGTCACCCCAATAAAATATATATGCATACATATGGTGTATATATATATATATATATAATTTATATATATATGTGTGTGTAAAAAAAAGAAATGAGGCAATAAATGTAAGAGTTCTCTTATACACTCAAGATCAACACACTCAAGATATTCAAAATTGGGTTTGTGAAGAGAGGCATAACAAACCATCAATACAGTTTTCAGCTTGTTAATAAAAGTTAGCATCGTAGGGTCACAAGGGACCTTAATGTTCAAGCTCTGAGGCTGTTTTTGGTGCCTAGAAAATTTCAAGAGCAATCCCAGAAGAGGGAGGTTCAGGCACCAAGACTCTAGACTGCCCAAGCCTTGTATGGGCAACAGGAAGAAGCGGAAGCAGCCTCTTGGCTCAACCCGCTTTGCTTGGCTTTCCCATTTGACATCAAAGAACTTTCCTTGGTTTCTGAAGAGACTTCTCTGACAAGCAAGGGAACAAGAGTGGGCAGGATGTTGGCCCTCCAGGACTTATGGCTGACTCACATTGAAAACTTGAAATAAAATAAAGAATAAGCTCATTGGATAAGTGGTTCTCCAATGTGTCTAGAGATGTTTATTTACTTCCAGATTTTGTCAGTGGCTTCTTGGCAAACAGTAGAGACTCCAAAACACTGCTTAAATGTCCGCAAAGTTCACAAAGCAGCTTTCCTTTATTGAGAGCTTACTACGTGTTAGGCACTGCAACGCGCATACTTACCTAGTCCTCATCACAGCTGCGAGATCTCAACTACTACTACTGGGAACAGTACAGAGGTGAGGAAACCCAGGCTCAGAGAGGAGGGCTGACTCATCAAAGGTGACCCAGCTCATAAACAGAAGGCCCACACTGACATCCAGGGTTCTCTTAGTCTTAGCCAAGCCCATGAGACCATACTGCCATATGGCCACCAACATATGCCTGAAGCCATTCAGGAAGATCTGAGGACCTGTCTACCTTTGACTTTCATACTGAAATGAAAACATTACTTTGGTAGACACATTTCCAAAATGGTGGAACCTTACTGCTATTAAAATAAAAACATTCTTTTTTTAAGAAAAATTTCATTTGGGAAAAGTATGAGTTAGATTTCTAAAATTTATTTCACATCATTCAACAGATATCTGAACTGCCTTTTGGAAGGCCATGTTAAAAAATATTGGTGCAAAAATGACACTTAAGTATCCTGATATAATATTTTATATTCCTATAAGTACACAGAACAAGACAATGCCTGATACGTAAGACAACTGTAAAATAGTGCTTAATGCAGAGGGAAGTTAGTTTGAACACTTAGTCTGTGATTTAAATTCCCCTAGGGAAGCAACTGTTCTACTCCAATGACAATAATTTATATATTTAATGCTTTCAAGGACAAAAAGTACCATTATTGTTTTGCAATTATTTAAAAATACTTTAAAATGAAGTATATTGTTACAACAGTGGGGGTGGAAAGAGAACAAATGAGTCTATTAATTGCCTCTATTTATTTCTTCTTGATTCCAGTTACAGTACTATTTTACAATGTCTGTGACATTGGTGAGTGGATGATTCTGTGATCTACAAAAGAAGGAAATGGCCTCAGTACATGATAAGTCTCTCAAGGGCTTTTAAGGATTTCAGCAACTGAGCCCTCACTGCCTTTTGCCTACACTTAACTGCAAAAGCCTCGCTACTGGTCACCCAGCTACCAGGCCCTCTCCATCTCATCGCTTCCACCACATGGCTGTTGGAGTGATATTTTTAAAGCTCCAAACTGACCGTGTCACCTCACTACTTGGAAACCTTCCCAGGAATCACTCTGGCCGGATCATGTGGCATTTATTCCCACTCAGCACCCTTCCGTGGTTTACTGAGTGCCCATCCTCCCAGCCTAGCTTTTCAAAAGGCAGCACTCAAATCCAACGGGCAGGGCAAACTGTCTGGCCAACAACAGGCAATTAAAAAGGCTGGTGGAAAGAACAAGAACTCAAATTAGGGATGATCTTGTCTTCAAATGAAGGGAAATAAAAATTAAGTGTGTGTGTTAACATCCAGAAGGTGTCAAGAGTCATTTGGAAAGTAGGTTGATTTGCTCTAAGCCCTTGTATTATTGACTGGGCATCGATGACAAAAAAAATCAGCAAGCAGTATAATGTTTTTAAGTGTTATTGATGATTCAATTCTCCAAAATATTTCTCCGTCAATCACAAAACTAATTTAACTGTCAGCCGCAGAGGGCCAGATGTCAAAAACATGTGTTAAAAAGCCCTAATATGCCATGATCTACTTGATTAACAACTAACTTGCAGAAATTCCAACAATGTGTTCTTGTTTTAGTCTTATTTGCATTGGCAAGTGTTCCTTGTACACTCATCTGGCTCTGCACAGGTCTAATCTATTTGTGCTTTATCACTGGGTGGGAAGTGAATTGCAGCAGCCTCCAGCTCTGCTATCTGGCTTTCTCAACTGCTTATCTGTTATGTGGCTACAGCAAGGCTTGGGAGACCAGCTTTATAAATACCGTGGGTTGTATCTCTTGAGCTCCTGTGTGTCAATCCTAGAACTAAGCCATACTCGATCTTAACTTGCTAAGCAGCATTATTTTTTGCACACTCTGGCTATTTGAATAAGTTCCTGGAAATTAAAAGGAACAACACAATCTCTGGGGTGTAATAACCCAAGTGGAACAGTGAATCGTGCCTAATGGGTTCTACTCATTGGTCAAAAGACAGCAAATAATGAATGCTCTTATGAATCCATGATTTTTAGTTAATTGTTTTATTTTTTGCACCATGTTTTGTTCCAGAGGATCTAGTATGTGGATAAAAATAGAACTTGTGAGGGAAAGGCCAATAAGGAGATAGTGATGACAAAAGCACAAAGATCAGAAGTTTTGAGCTTTAGTCTGATTCCATCACACCTGAGCTGAGTGGCCTTCGGATAATCCAGGGTAGGCAACAAAGTCCCAGCCACGGGCCAGCTTACACAGACTGTAAGTGACTTCCTGGACTGCTGTGTTGAGAAGTTCGCTTGTGCCACGGTTGACTAATAATGTCTGTGCAGGGCTCAGAAATGGAGAATGGTGCTAAGAATGCCCCACATTTTCATTTATGGGCAAGTCATCTCACCTCACTGAGCCCCTTTCCCATCTTTAAAATGAAAGAGTATGGATTTAGTGTTTCTCAAAGTGTGGTCCTCTCTTGCGTCAGAATCACTGGGCATGCTTGTTAAAAATCACAGGTTTCTGGGCACCGCAGCAGAGCAACTGAATCAGAATCACTAGGCAATGGAATCCAGGAAACTGTATTTTAAGAGGTTCCCTAAATGATAAGATTATTTGGATGCACAGAGAAGTTTGATACCCACTGGAAAAAATACTTAAGTCTACTATTCTTTATCCCGTGGTAGAAAACCTTGCCATTTCCTATCCGAAGTGTCTGTGCTTTTCAAATAAACTAGCATTGTGAGGTAGCACCTTTTGAAAATTCCCTCTGAATAAAATGTTGTTTGCTTTTATTTTTTATTACTGTGAGAAGCAAAAAAAACCAAAAACAAACAAACAAACAAACAAAAACGATGCAAATAGGGTTTGGAAACTAACAGCTCAGAGGTCAAAGCTGGCCCACAGAGCTATTTTGTTTGGCTTGAGCACTGCGATTTTTAAAAATCTGCACTTGAATGTTTTGAGACAGGTCAAGGACTCTCCAGCTCACCATAGTTGCCCACAGACCCTGCTGCATCACCCCAAACCCACTTTCCTCATCTGTGTTCCCTGCCAGGCCTTCTCAGGCATTTAAGTTCCTTATTCCTCATCTATGTCCCATTCAGGTTTTATGTGCCTGAGACTGTGGATCAGCAAATTGAACAACGATTGTCAAGGTAGTTCCAAACAAGAGTGGAACTTAGAGGTCAGCTAGTTTAAATGTGCATTTTGAAAATAAGGTACTGAGAGACACTGACACAATTATCAAGTAGTGGAGACAGTTTGAGGGGGCCAGACTCCCACAGACCTCAGCTTCCCTTCCCAGTTATCCCCTTAGTCTCAAAGGAAGTGCTTAAATAAAGGGAGTAGTTTCAAATTTGGGAGTTCTTTGGGATTTAAACTAGAGTAAATCAAATCTTAATAAGAAAAAAGACATAAAACCCTGCCAAGAATTTACAACATGGAAAATTCTATGGTATATGTTTACTTCTGTAAATTTAGAGAAAGAAATTAAGAGGTACAAATAGGCTGACATCCTATCACTCAAAAACTGCAAAAGGACTACATAATCATTAATAGTTTTTGAACCAACATTTCCTCATTCAAATTTTACAAACAAAATTACTGCAGGAGCTCTGGTAATACAATCTTGAAAACTGAAAAGAGACGAATATCTTTCCCTGAAAAATCATCATTTTTATTCTTGTATTGTTCAAATAAAATATTTTATCTTATAATTTAATCCTAAAGTTACAATCTTTTGTTTTAATAGGAACATGAAGACTATCTAGCCATAGAACATGGCTCTTTTTTATTTTTTTAATTTCTATATGTTTAACATACATCAGTGGTTCTCAGGTGAGAGTGTACACTGAAATGACCAGGGGAGCTTGGTCAAGTGCAGCTGCCCAGGCCCTACTCAAGGTTCTGACTCAGGAGGTACAGACAGGGCCTAATAATTTAGATCATCAACAAGCACCTCTTGGTTACCCTGAAGCAGAAATCCAAGGAGCCTTTAAAAAAAAATTTTTTTTTTCTTGGGTAACAGTGTGTTTTTTCCAGGACCCATCAGCTCCAAGTCAAGTAAGTCATTGTCCTTCAATCTAGTTGTGGGGGGCGCAGCCCACCATCCCATGCGGGAGTTGAACCAGCAATCTTATTGTTCAGAGCATGTGCTCTCACCAACTGAGCCATTTGGCCACCCACCAGCAGCTCAGCGGCAGCTCAGCTCAAGTTGTTGTCTTCAATCTAGTTGTAGAGGGTGCAGCTTACTGGCCCATGTGGGAATAGAACCGAAAACCTTGTTGTTCAGAGCTCGTGCTCTAACCAACTGAGCCATCCGGCCACCACCAAGAAGCCTTCTTTAAGTTACATTGGTTTAGGGAAACTGGGGGCCATTTAATCTAATGCTCCCCCCCCCATTCCACAAATGGGAAATTTGAGGCCCTGGGACAGAGAGTTACCTAACCTCTCAAATCCCATGTAGTTTACTTATTTATTTAGTCTGTCTCTCCTTCACCACCACTAGAATCTAAGCTCCGTGAGAGCCAGGACTTTGACCCATTCTCTTTTCTGCTGCATCTGCAGTGCCCACAGCTATACCTGTCACATGGTGGGGCCTCATTCAATCAATACCCACAAGGCGCACCTCCATGTGGTATCGTGCCAGGTACCTGGGGAAGGCACGCTAACACACACACACACAAATAACACACAAGCATGGCTGTATTGCTTGGGCTTGGAGCCTAGCAGAGGAGATCAATTAATCACAGAAAAACAGATAAAAGCACAATTAAGACTGTAACATGAGCTCCGGGAAGTTCATGGTATTATGAGAACATAAAAGAGAATTTTACCTGGTAAGCGTCCCTGAGGAAATGATTAATAAACACCTATAATTTAATATACCAATTGTTCTGAACACTTTCCAGATACTAATGCAAGTTCTCCAAATATAACCCACTAAGGTAGGAAATATTATTATTCCCTTTTACAAATGAAAAAACTGAAGAAGTGAAAGGTTATGTTACTTGTCCAAAGTAGTAAATGTCAGACCTAGGATATGAACCCAGGCAGTCTGGCTCCAATGTTCATATTCTTAACTACTGTGTAATACAGCTTCTCAGAAAATTGAGCTCTCAGAAAGAGAAATTAAGTCTGCAGAGAGTGAGGAACATTCTAGGCTTGGTAACAGCATGTGCCAAGGGTCTGAGGCAAGAGGGAACACAGTGCACTTGAAAATCTAGAAGGCCAGTATAGCTAGAACATGGAGAATAAGGGAAGAGAGATGTGGAATGAGGCCAGGAAGGAAGGAAGGAAGGAAGGAAGGAAGGAAGGAAGGAAGGAAGGAAGGAAGGAAGGAAGGAAGGAAGGAAGAAGAATAAGAGGGAGAAAGGGAAGACAAGGGAAGGTAGGAGGGAAAGAGGAGTAAGGCAGGGAGAGAGGTGGTTGGTCAGATGAGAGCCAGTTCAGATGAAGGGATGGACCCTACAAGCCAGGTTAAGGATTCCATTTTTTATCATCCTAAGAACAATGACAAGCTAGTGAAGGTTTTAAGCAGGGCCAAGGGTGACATGATAGATCAGGGCTGCATTTCCGAAAGACATCCCTGGCCTCAGTGTGCCAAGTCTACTGGAGAGCGCTATGGGAGCAGGAGGCCCAGCTGGGACTGGGGTCATGTAAGCACATGGAGAAAAGCAGGCACATTGTAATGCACTGGGATTATGTCCCCCAACTATGTTCCCCTAAATCTGATGCCCCACTTCATAGTCCAAGCTCACCTTCTCTGACAAAGCCTCCTCAAGCGTCGCCAGGGCAGTGTCAGTATTACTGGAATCTGTCTGCAAGGACTTCACTCTGTCTTTCAGGTTGGTCAGTTGCTTGTCTTTATCCCTAAGTTGTTCTTGCAAGTTTTCAATCTGAAAATAAAGATCATCATATTTAATGCATATTTCATTACATAGGCAGGGCCAAGATTACTGAAGGGGACTTGTTTAAAAAAAAATAGACTTGAGATTATGGAAATTGTTAGTATAACGAGGTTATACATTGACTTAGAATCACAACACTGTTTTCATGAGGCCTTCTACGTAATTCAGATTTGTACTGCAATGGTGATACAAATGAGCAGCATATCTTCCTCCATACAAATGCAAGCCCTTCAGACACATAAGCACTATTATTTCTATTTCTATCCCTTTCACTAGACCTTTAAGTCTCAAATCCATAGGCTTTATCATGCTACAATGAATCAGAGAACACATATGCAGGATTTATTCACTCAATGAACAGAACGGGTACCCATTCTGCATCAAGCACCGTATCAGTATATGGCAGAACCTATGTAGTCATTCACTCACTCCTTGATTCAGTATTACACTTTGTGATAGGCCAAATGTTGTCAAGTGGCTGTTTCAAAGTAACCACATGAAAAGCCAAGTAGGTTATCACCAGTAGACTGTTAATGGGAAGAACTTGTGATATAAATCAAATGTAACAAGTACTAAACACTCCATTTGGCAACTCACTCATGTGCTGGCAACCTACCAGCCACTTTTATCCACTATCTGCAGCCTGAAATAAACACGCTAAATAGCCGATTATAACGCCTGCCCCGGAGCGGCAGCCAGGACCTGCTGGTGGGCACTGCAGACATTATCATTCATGTTTTTATTCTCTGCTTTCAAACCACATATTTCTTATCTAAGGATTAAAAGAAAGCCCCACTGTACAAACAATTTATTCATATTAAGGGTTTTAAAATGACAAGGAAAAATAGCAGGACAACTCTAAGATAAGTCCATTCAAAATATTTGTATTCTGCGCCCAGGCTTTCTCAGGAAATCATTCCAAATTCATGCTTCACAATGTGTGACTCCAACAAATCTCTGGACTACTTGATTCATTTAGTGTGAATCTGGAATGGCAATACCAATAATGACAGTAGTAGCAGCAATAATGAAGAGGAGGAGGAGAGGGTGACAGCAGAGGTGGCAGCAGCAGCAGCGTCACAGTAGCTATGAAGACAAAGACGGTGACGCTGCTGAAGCTCAATCTGCAGGACGTGGGACTCAGCTAATTTTCCAGTGGTTATAATGGATGTGGGTGAACAGAAATAGACTTTTCTTCTTCCTTCTTTCCTTCCTTCTTCCTTCCTTTCTTCCTTCCTTCCCTCCTCCCTTCCTTCTTTCATTGTTTTTTCTTCTTCTTGCCAATGTATCTTTTTATTTTTTATTTTATTTTTTTAATTGAGGAACAGTGTGTTTTTCCAGGACCCATCAGCTCCAAGTCTAGTAGTTGTTTCAATCTAGATGTGGAGGGCGCAGCTCAGTGGCCCATGCGGGGGATCAAACCGGCAACCTTGGTGTTATGAGCCTGCGCTCTAACCGACTGAGCTAACCAGCCTCCCCGCCAATGTATCACTTTAATAAGACATGCTTTCTGCCTTGAGACACACATCCTGGAAACTCGGGTTATAGGTCAAATAACCTTCTCCCTCATCTAAACGCAATGCGTTCGTACCTAGCTACCACTGAGAATTCACTGTCCCTCCATACAGGAACTCAAAAGGCATGACCATCTGCAGTCCAGCAAAGGTTTCCTCCATTCCAGACCAGTGTTCAGACAGTCACACAACACCGTAAGCAAATATATGAGTGAGCAAGAATATGGATGGTTATATGGCAGAATGATAGTCGTTATATATATAGAAGCCAGCATCTGAGAGGACTTTTCACAGTGTGTCATGGTTTTGAGTACACCCATACCCACAGATATGTTTGTGTACACATACATGTGCAAATCCATGGTATTTCCAGGCAAACTTGTCAGACACACCTTGACACCCTGGAAGACAGTGCCCTGGACAGGGAAGAGGAGAGGGACTTTCAGGGCCTCAGCCCTGGGGCAGTGGTAGGCACAGGTTCTAAGGAACTTTGAGCATTGGAAATAGAGGCTAAAGGAGTCTGGCTGTGAGCCTGTGTGAGAACACTGGGGCCTCCCCAAACAACCAGGAAGATTAAGAAGGTTGAGGGTTAGAGGTCTTACCAGCACACAAGTAGGAGCTCAGAGCTGAAGAAATGTGGGTTGGTGAGCCCGGGGACACATGAGTTACATACTTGTTTACCTCATATCTAAGAGCCCAGCGACAGAAGCATTGATATGTCAGGCAAGACTGACTAACAGCTCTGGAATAGCAGACACATTTATAGAGCAAGGGATGCACAACTTTAAAAAATTTTACACAAAGATCTCCAATAATGATTAATAGAGAAACACAAGGTGCAGAACAGTGTGGGGAATAAAGTCTCTTGTGTAAATAGAAAATAAATCTATAAGGGGATACATAATTGTATATGTAGCTACTGAAATAAAAAAAATTTTTTTGAAAGAAAAACACAAGAAATTTTTACAGTACTTAACTTTGAGGGAAAGGATAGAGGGTGCAGAAGGGAGAGGGGAGCATCCTTTTTTTTTTCATTTTTATACATTTCTGTAGTTTTCAACTTGACTTTTCTAACCATGTGGGTTTTATTAACTTTTAATGCCAACCAGGATTATCTGACTGGTGAGATTATGGGTCATTTATAGTTTATATTTGTATATAAAAATAATAAACATTATATACATAAGTAAATAACAAATAATTAAATAATTTAAAAGCCTACTTAAAATTCATTGTCCAAATTACTAACAATTACAGATTGTTAGTACATTTAAACCATTATGCAAATATTTAAAATCATGTTTGCATATAGTTGCCGCTAAATGGAAATAGTAGAATGCAAAGGAAGAAAAAGCAGAATGTAAAATAATATTTAAAAAATTCTCACACAGAAAGCATATATAAAAGGAATTCACTACAAGGTTCTTTATCAGCAATGGTGTGACTGATTTTACTTTTCTTCTTTATACTTTCCTGTGCCTGCCATCTTGTTTTCCTTGAACATAATGAACAAGAAGGCTGGGGAGTTGGAGTCAGGGAACATAGTCCAGAATGATGTCCAAAGTTTTTATGTAAATGCTGGTGCAGACACTGTTGTCCAAGCTGGGGGAGACCAGAAACGGAGGCTTACAGCACAAATCCATCTATAATTGACCACTGGATACAACCACTAGCCCTGCAGTGTGCAGCCTCACATCCTTGACCTTGCAGTCATGCAGCCGAGTGTCCCTCACATTCCCAACATCCCAACAACTCTGGGGCAGATACATCTAATGAGCAAAACTCTTACATCTAAGGTAAAGCACACAGCCCAGCTGCGAAGGAAGCTGAGAAGCCAAGGGTTGACATTTTCACCTTCCAGCATGAGAGGTTCTTCATCAGCTCAGAAGAACATTCAGGGTATGGATAGCCAAAAAAAGGACCCATATCCACAATACCAAGGGGGAGCCCTGGTGTTAACTCCTGAACCAACAAACTACACCATCCTGGAGCAATTATTCTGAACTTTCTCTCTTTCAAGTTCCTACAGGTCTAAAAATCTAAGGTTTGATTAGGACACTTGCCCCAGTGTGGTCCATGAAGCACTTTGGTACCAGCCTATATATGATAAGAAAACTATACACATCAAGAGTCTGTGTATCACTCCACTATTCAAGAACATGACTGATGGACTTCTCACCTTGAGCAGTATATAGACGAGTTGAGATGCTTTTGAACTCATGTGTCACGTGTGGCTAGAACTCATGTGTCACGTGTGTTCATACACATAGGATCACATATTATTACATGAGAGAACAGAAATTTAAAAAAGAAATAGGTTGCTTGGGAAGCACAAATGTGTAGGCCTGCTAATCTCTCAGAATTTCTGAAATGCTTCAGAAATTTCTTTTTCTTTACTGTTTTTTAATTGTAAAATACACATGACACAACTTGAACATTTCAACCATTTTTAAATGTACAGCTGAGTGGTATTAAATACCTTCATGTTGTGCAACCATCACCACCATCCACTTCCATGTGTCTACATTTACTTCTGTGCAATCGCGTCACATGTGTAGATTCAAGTGACCACCAAAGTAAAGATACAGAACTATTCCATCACTACAAAGATCACCCTGTGTTGCCCTGTTATAGCTGCACCCACCTCTCTCCTGACTCTGCCCCTGCCCCTAACCCCTGGCAGCCATGAATCTCTTCTCCATTTCTATAATTTTGTCATTCCACAAACATTACATTAATATAGTCATACAGTATAAAACCTTCAGGGTTGGCTTTTTTCACTCATTATGATTCTCTGGAGATCCATTCAAGTTGTTCTGTTTAGCAATCATTTGTTCCTTTTTATTGCTAAGTAGTATTCCATGACATGGATATACTGGCTTGTTTAACCTTTCATCTGTTAAAGGTTATTGGGTTGTATCCAGGTTTTAGCTATTACAAGGAGGCTACTATGAACGTCCATGTACAAGATTTTTTCTACAAACAAAAGTCTTCATATCTCTGGAATAAGAGTATAGTTGCCAGGTCTTATGGAATTTGAGCAATTTTAGTTGTATAAGAAACTGTCAAACTGTTTTCCAGAGTAGCTGTACCTTTTACTTTCTCCCCTACAATGTGTGAATGATCTGGTTTCCCTACATTCCCACCAACTTTTGGTGTTGTCACTATTTTTTATCTTAGTAATTCTGATAGGTGTATAGTGACATCTTATTGTAGTTTTAGTTTGCATCTCCCTAATGGCTAATCATTTTGAACATCTTTTCATATTCTCATTTGCCAACTGTACATCCTCTTCAGTAAATATCTGTTAGTCTTTTGCCCTTTTTCTAATTGTATTACTTTTTTTTATTTTACTGTTGATTTTTGACAGTTTCTTATATAGTCCAGATACCTTGTCAGATATAAGACTTACAATTATCTTTTTGTATTATTTTCCAGTCTGTAGCTTGACTTTTCATCCATTTAACAGGATCT